AAAAAAAAAAAAAAAAGTCTGTAGTACTGCACATTATCAGTATATTTCAGGAAACCAGAAAGGAAGAGAAGATCCCAAAAGTTTCTGGAGAAAAAAAGTTACATGAAAAGGATTAAGATTAAAAATGGCTTCAGATTTCTTAACGGCAGCTCTGAAATAATGTTCAGAAAGTTTAGTGTTATGATTTCTAACCCTGAATCTATACCTAGCCAAACATTAGAGTAACTCTGAAAATAAAGGAATGACATGTAAAAGATAAAAACAAGTTCTCTTGCCATTTACTTTTTTTAGGAAGTGAAGTAAACTAAGATAATGAGTCAAAAGGTGGGGAGTAAAGACATGGAATCCTGGTAACTAAGGGATTTAACTCCAGAGAGGAGTAAAGGGAGATCCTAGGAGGATGGTGAAAGTCCTGGGGCTAGAGATGTGCACAGAAGTAGACCAGCCCATACTGGAGCAGGAGGATGGAAGGGGCTTCTAGAAAAGAAGAAAAAATGTCTAGGAAAAAAATGTCTGGGATGGGAAATGACATGTTAATCATATTGATAGTATTAATATGCAGATACACAGAAAAACAGTAAGATGAAAAGAGAATACTATTACAACTTAGGAAAGAGAGATATTTAAAAATGATATAGGGCTCTGGCTTGGCAGGGAACAGTATTTGTATAGTCATAAAATTATAAACCCTGATTATTGATTTAAATGCAAATTACTGGGGTGACAGGAGGAAGTGAGAGGGTTATGCAGAGGGGAAGCAAGACTTAAGGCAAGGGAGGAGTGAGACTGCAGATAGCTAGCTGCTTTTGTTACAAAACTTTTATTATTACCTATTCTTTTAATGTGCATGTGTTAATTTGAGAAAGATTTTATGAAAGTTTAAATAAACTAAACCTTTCTTTTCTTCAAACTAACCTCTTTTTCTTAATAGGTAGGAAACAAAAAACGCCAAACATCAGGGGAAAAAAATTTACTGTTCTAGGACTATGTAACACTACTTAAGTAAGTCTCAAGTCTTATTTGACTAAGTCATACTGTTCTCAACATTAAAAACTTAAATCATACTGTGCACTCCTGTTGAATACAATAAAATTAATGAAAGTCCTGTAAGCTTGAACAGTATTTATATATTATTAAACTTGAGGGATGAGTACACCTTTTGGAATTAATACTGTCATCATTATGCAAATTATATTTTAGTAGGATCAATAAGGAATTTAACATATAAAAATGGTTAACTATTACTGTTTTGCTTCAGCTGACATCTAATTCTTCTTAGGATTCCTGATTTCAACTTCCACAAGAGTAGCCTCTGCCTCCATTTGGTTTACCTCAGTCAGGATATCAGCAGGCACTCCAGTGGCCATTAGGATAGTGCAAAGTTGCTGCAGTAAGCCACACTGGAACATAGCTTTCTGGCAGCTACTGGTAGCACCCGGAGGGTTGGTGGGAGATACCAGCACACGAACCAGCTGTGAAAGAAAGAGAAAGCAGAAGTGGTCTTTTAAAGATGTGAAAAGTCTTGAGGCAAATTTCTGTATGAATAAGAACGTCTATGTAAAGGATTCCCCTCACCTATTCAGCCAGATCTAGATGCTCTTTCCTTCACGCTCTCACGGCAACAGTTCTGTTATAGTACATAGCACATTACGCCAGTTTGTCTCCTTCAGGTGATTGTGAACTCCCAGAGTAGAAACTGCCTCAGTCATTTTTGTATCCAAAGAAAAGGCCCAGTATTTATAACATAGTGTATAGTCAATAAATGAATAAGTAACAGGGTGGTATATTTCTTACCAAAGTAAAGATGAACTACCTAATTATGGAGAAGGTCTGAAAATAGAATGGCTTGGGGCGTAATAAAGTCCCCCTAAACTGGAGATACTTAAAGAGAGACCAAAACTAACCCCTGAAGACATGGTAGAAGATTTATGCGTTAGGTAAGGGGCTGGCCTCATTGATTGTTAATGCTAATTAAACCTTTATGGTTCTATGATTAGTCTGAACTTGAACATGAAGTCTGAGAAACATAAAAAATGTCATCCCAAACAAATGTTCAGCAGTTACGTCTTCAAAATAATTTCACATATAGCTTGTATTTTAAAACTAGACTTACAAATCTATGTGTGTACAAAACCTTGTATATTAAGATCAAATGGGATTTTATAATATTTTTATTAAGAGGGTTGATTAATACATTGATGTTACTAGAGAGAAGCTTTAGAATTACATAATGGCTCAAATCTTTAGACCTTTCTGGTTAGACCTCCATGGCTTTTTGTTTTGGTTTTTGTTTTATTCTCCTCTTATCCCTAATGTGAAAAAAAAAAAAATATATATATATATATATATATAAATATATTTAAAGCAATACCAAGCTATTTGTCACTTCTCCCATAAATATTTCTACATATGCCTCTAACTAAAAAGAATTTTAAAAAACATGATCATCATGCCATTACTGTAGCTAACAAAATCAACAATAATTCCTTAGTATCATCTAATAGCAGTTGGGTATCTTTATTGATGAGGTAAATAAAGAAAAAGTAATTATCAATCTTCTAGATGACAGAGAAGTAGGAAAAGGTGATTGAAGAAAGAGGGAATATTTATTATAAGGATAACAACATAAGGGAAGACTTAGTAACAACATTTAAATATGTAAAATACCATAAGGAATGGACTTGTATTTTCCCTGAGAGCAAAACAGGGGGAAGTTTGTAGAAGGCAGATTTTGACTCATTATATGAAGTTTTTAAGAGCTAGAATTACCCAACAATGAAAAGGATTCTCTCATAAGGTAATGAGCTTTCTGGGAACTGCTGGCAGTATCTGTCCAAAAAATGATATATAAGGGTATATTCCTATAGGAATAGGAGGCAGAACTAGTCATAACACTATCATTCCAAGAAAAATTAAAGTGTATTATGACTAAAAAACTTTTCAAAAAGATGCTTCCCCCAAATTTAATCTGTAAAATTTGAATGAATACCCTCAAACACATCGATTTCAATTTATAGAATTTTTAAAATCAATCATGATTTCAATGCAATGATGAATAATTCCAGTTAGGATGTTATCTATCCAAATAGGACTGTTTATCCTCATTTTTGATGCATTTTCATTTGGTGCATAACAGAGAACTGGAAATACAAGCAACCCTAAATAAAGCTATAAGGAAACAGAACAGTAATAGGCTGAAAAGCAGAAGATAACCTGTGGCCTGCGAAGTCATGAATGCATCAACTACTCAATCTTTGAGATGGAGAATATATTGAAGTGAATTAAACTCAGCTTCTTTATTTTGAAGTTTACATGCTTTAAGATTTTATTTACTTTTTAAAAGTAAAAAAAAACTTAACCAATTTACTACATATGTAAAAATAATGTATTTTTTTGTTTATATGCAGCACCCTAGTCTAATTTTTTTTTCTTTTGGTAAAGTAGTACTTTTTAAACAGCGGCTTTCTTCAAAAATGATTCTTTGCTTAGTACTCTAAACCATAAAACATAAGTGGACTCCTCTAGCAGTTTAAATTTTCCCTGCTTGGTAGGATATATATAAGCTTTTGCACATCACCAGATCCCTTTGCTCTGTCTAATCATGTTTTGAAAGGTATTTTTCTACAGGAATTTATTAAGAAAGTGGTGTTGGGCAAAATATCAAGCTGACTACTTGGAATGCTATTTCTAAGGTGCAAAAAACATGTTGAAAAACTAAGTCTTGAAATGTGTAATACTGACATGTGAAAGTAGAAAGGATGAAGTGGGGAGTATAAAATAGAAATATTCTACCCATGTTCTCCTGTAAAATATTTTCCTGACAGGTTTGAGGCATATTCTATATAAGGTAACTATAATTTATTATCTAAATTGGGACACTTTAGAAGTGAAAGAGGACACTATTCGTAATTACAAAACGATTACTAGCCTGGCAAAATGGGGCATCTGGTCACCTTAATTACCAATTAACCCTACACAGGCAACTCCCACGGCATGCAACGATATTCAGACTCTAATTACTAGAGAAACTATCCATCTAGTTTTGAGGAAAACAATTTCAGAGACGCAGGAACAATTCAGAGATATTCAAAGACCCACAAGAATCACCAGAGAGCCAGTAAGCTGGGAAGCTAGTATATAAACTTAAGGGTTTGGAGAGGGAATAATAAAGGAATAAGTAAGTAAAATACTTCAAAGAACTTCATATTTTCTCTGATGCAGAAATCATTTGGGATCCTATTGTCTTCACTTTTACCATTCATCACCAGTAAGCTAAAATAAAATTGCAGGTGACTTGTCATTTTAACTTATATCAGACTTAAAACAGATTATTAATCTTTGGAGGCAGGGACATTATCATTCATTTCCTAGCAGTCACTGCCTAGCTCTCAGTAAATGTCTACTGAGTGAATTTATTTGCTGAACGCAGTATTCCGTACATTAAAATTTACATTAGAACCTTAACTGAAGAAAGTAGATTTAAAAAATTCAAATCAACAATCTAACCTATTATTCTCTGGGTGCAAAACCCATCAGGAAACTATACGTTTGGATTTGCTTTAAAATAATCCAGCAGGGCAGGGTGCCTGAGTGGCTCAATCAGTTAGGCATCTGACTCTTGGATTTGGCTCAGGTCAGGACTTCACGGTTCCTGAGTTCGAGCCCTGAGTCAGGCTCTGCCGCAGAGACTACTTGGGATTCTCTCTCTTCCCCCCGCCCCACCCTCCCCTGCTCACTCTGTCTGTCTCTCTCAAAATAAATAAACCTTAAAAATAAATAAAATAAAATAATAAAATAAAATAAAATACAAATAATCCAGCAGGGCAAGAGAAGGGAATAAAAGATGAAACAAAATTGCCACATGTTAATAATTACTGAAGTTGAGTCATGGGCATATGTACTGGGGGTTGGAGGGAGGGGTTAATGGCAGTGGATCTCTATCTCTGAGCATAACTGCAAGTCTTCATATTAAAAGGTTTTCTTTTAGGCCCATCTGAAACCAACTCAATATCCTAGATTTATCAAATACAAGCAATTTTCTTTTCTTTGAAAGGAATGTTGTCAAAATTCTTGTCACATTTATGTCTAACTATAGTGTACCTGTAGCATTACGTGCAGATTAGTCACTTTCTGTGCAGACCAGCCAGAATTTTCATCGCCAACATCAAACCAAGGTTTCATACGTTGAATATATGAGCCTTCTTTAAAAAAATTTTGATTGGAATTGTTGTTTTTTAACAAGTTTTGGAGCAAAATCAGACAATCTTCCACTACTATGCCTGAGAAAAGAATGTAAAATGGAAGTGTTAAGGCTGATAAAACCTGAAGGAAAATTCACTCCCCAAACACTTAAATAAAAGACAAAACTTCAAACTCAGCATTTCTTCAGTACAGCAAGGTAAAAAGCCTGTTCTGACTCCTGACGGTCACAGGCCACAATCTGCGTGCTCTTTCTTAGGTTTCCAGTGATCTCTTGACCTCTCTGTTCAACTACCCCTCACCTCAATAACTCAGATTTTTTCTTCAGATCCCAGATTAAACATCAAGACCTGATGACTAGGTTGGCATCACCAGTCACATGCTTTCACAAGAACCTGCTCCTTTTATTATTATGTAGTATCTGACTTCTCTACTAGATTATAATTCATAAAGACAGGAATGTGAATGTCTTACTAGGATACAGTGACCTACTCTATATCCTCAGCAGAGACAGAAACAAGATATCAGGTCTATACATATCAGCTCACTATTAAATATTTGTTGAATGAATAAATCATATCTTATTTAGTCACTAAGAAGCACTGGACATTGTTGTCTTGAGTCTCTTCCTTGAAACTTCCTCTTCCCTTGGTTTCTAGTAACTACTCTCTCATGATTTTCCTTACAGATCTCTGGCCACTCCTCAGGCTTCCTATCTTTCCTGGTTCCTCTTCTCCATTTACTTCTATCTTTGCTTACAACATACTATTCTATAGGGTAGTTCCATCCACACTACAGCATATACTATCATCATGGCTTAAAGCTCATCAACTGATCTCTATCATGTGTTAGTCTAACCAAGGATCTGTTTCCTCTGTTAAGAATATGACTAATGTTGGGGTGCCTGGGTGGCTCAGTCGGTTGAGCATCTGACTTCAGCTCAGGTCATGATCTCACAGTTGACGAGTTCGAGCCCTGCGTTGGGCTCTGTGCTGGTAGGTCAGAGCCTGGAGCCTACTTCCGATTCTGTGTCTCCCTCTCTCTCTGCCTCTCTCCCGCTCATGCTCTGTCTCTGTCTCAAAAATAAACATTTAAACAAACAAACAAAAAAAGAATACGACTAATGTCAGATATTCACAGCTAGTAAGTTCCTCTGTGAGGTACACTCACACATTTACTCCTAGTAGTTGAGGTCTGTGTTTATAAAAATCAGTTTTCTGAATTTTTTTAATGTTTTATTTTTGAGACAGAGAGAGACAGAGCATGAGCAGGGGAAGGGCAGAGAGAGAGGGAGACACAGAATCTGAAGCAGACTCCAGGCTCTGAGCTGTCAGCACAGAGCCCAATGTGGGGC